ACTAGCTCAGCCAAACCAATGAAGATTGATTATATCTCTCATCGTTTGGCTGCCATCCGTTTGAAGATGCTGAAAAAAGTCACTCAGCCTAACACAGCCTGAGTTACTAGTCAAGTTTGAGAAGCTTCATATGAGCAAATGTGTGGGAGTAATGTACTTCCTAATGGAAATAATCACTATTCTGACAAATCTTTCTCATTCTTCAAGGAGTGAATTCTTGTTTCAAGTTTCCGTGAAACCCAGAATGCGTTATGCTGAAACTTGGAGCAATAAAATACAATCCTAGCCTTTATGTCTGAAAAATTATCCTTTAAGATGGCAATGTGAAAGAATAAATATTTGAGTGTTTAAAGGCAAAGCTGCAGAAAAAATCAGATCTCTATGCTTGAAGCTGCCACTGAACATATGGGTGCCAGACAACAGGCGTACACTGATCACCATTTGTTTCAACACTTTGATTTCACCCAGCACCACAGTGACATAGAATTTTCTTTTTACAGCAATGCACAAGTCTACAATTTGCGTAACACCATATCAAGGAGGGAGGAAACGAAAAGTTCTGTGTTTCAATATCCGTACTTTTCATTAAAATGACTTTTAAGAACAGCAAGTTGTGCAGATTTAACTGAACTTTTAGCCACCAAGTAACCTGCCTTTCATACTACATTGCTTTTGCTTCAAACACTGCCTTCATTGTTGCTGTAGCACAGTATCAATATGTTTTTTTCCCTAGTTAACTGAATTTAAAAATGTCCATATGTGTGTATCTGAAGTAAACCATACTTGCAAGTCTTAGTGCAAAAAATCTTGTGATGAAAGAGTTGCCTCAAGTGCTGTTACTTTCCAGGCCCATTACCCTGTACTCTATTTACAAGAAAGGAGATCAGGAATAAAATGTGCACGCTGTCACAGAAATCATTCAACACCAACAGCAGCCAGCGCTAGCTGAGGATTTGACTAGTGTAATTCCACATGCTAAGATATAGACCTCTAAACAGATGGACAATGTCATCCATTATTCAAGTATTAGAGCTTTTACGTGAATTCAAAGCTACAATATTACCAGAATTTCAATCTCAGACTGGTAGAGCTTCTGGCCATTTTTGGAAAAAGCCATTTAAACGAAAGAAACACAGAAGAAATAAAGAATAAAACCAATAATCCTTGAGATACGGAAATCAATCTCAGCAGTCAGATTACTTGAAAAGTGGCACACACAAGAATTGAATAAATTATATTTTCTAGTTTGACATTTTTTTCAGAAAGCTCATGGCAGTTCTGTTGATATTTGGATAGCTTTTCTAGATCTATATAGTAAGACTGATTTTAAGGTATTTGATAACCATATAAACGACAAACTAAATTTCAATATACAAATCCTGAGGAGAAAAATAAAAATAATTCCAACCTCCCTCCCTCACAAGCAGCTGAAAGTTTTATTACAAAAGGTACCTTCTAAGACCTAGAGAGCAGACAAGAAGAACTTTAAGTCTTAATTTATAACCAAATTTGTAACAGTTTGCCTCATATGGATGGGACTAATAACAGCATTGCAATAATAATGTAGAAAGACATAGATTGCTCAGGAATTTTAGGCTGAGGAAAACACAAGACAAGATACTTATTCATTCAATAAAGTTCAATACATTTTATTTAAAGTTCCCAAAATAACTGGAAATTTGTCGGATGGAAGCTGTGAAGTGATAAAGGAGGAAGGGGAGTGGGAGGATAAATCAAGGAAATCACACAGAACAGGAAACAGATCTACCGTAAATTGAAGTTTAGAGAAAGAAAAAAAAATAAGCAAACTAGCAAATTAAATTCAGAAAATTAAAAAAGGACAAAAAACTACTTTTTTTCTTAATGAAGTAGGAAATGCAGAGCATAATCAATTATTTCTCACACATAAGACAAAGAAGCTTATAGTTTCTAAAATTAATTAGAAAACTCTGACGAGGTTAGGTATTACCAGTGGTTTTTAAACATAGTGGTACAGATATGACTTCCAGAAAGGAAGGAAAGCAGGAAGGCAGCCAGGAAGTCAATGAACTGCCAGCTCTTAGAAAGGAGAACACTTGCCATTCTTCTATTTCCCCCTACGTATCTGCTACTGGCAACTGCTAAGAGGACAGTAAGCCTGATTGATCATCAGTTGACACATCATGGAATTTCTTATTCTGGAGTAGAAAATCATCCAAAAATCCTTTGTTTTCAATGAACTTAACTTGTTTAATCTCTCAGGATGTACTCTCCAAGACAACCCAGAGACCTGTACAGGGAAAGCTCTTCCTACAAACAGTGACAAAAAATAGATTGAAGTTCAAGAATAATAAAGCTAGCAAGACAGTTTCCTTCATCCCTATTTCCTGTACTCCTGAAATACACTGTGATGTGAAACTCATTTACATATTTCTGAAATTATTCACCAGATATATCTACCAGATAGATTTCATGGTATCTTGATCTCTAGGAAAAGTTAGAAATCATGTAAAACATAACGTATGTAGAAAAATAGATAACTTGCTAGAAAGCTCAAGTATTACATATTCCTTACTTATTTTAATATGCTCTTTATTATTAACTGTAGCTCATACACAGAAGTTGCAACTTCCTTTCATGCAATATTCTGGAAGTGTGTCATAGCCAAAGCGAAAAACATTGAAACAATGACTACACATATGGGTGCTGAAAAACTACTGTTTAAAAAATACTGTGGAAAAACAACATTTTAAAAACAATCTTGATATAAGACTTAACTATACAGTATACATTTTTAAAATATTGTTAATGGCCTGCAACCTGTAATATGCCACTAGATGGCAAGTTTGGACAGAATTAGCTAACTTTTTTATAACACAGTATGATTGCTTGAAAATTGCAAGTGCATGGGAAAGATCAATACTCACAACAAAGAACGAAGGAAAAAAGCACAAAAAAAGTAAGATCAATAACCTTCATGTCTTCTGTATACAGCATATTAATATTAGTCAGAAAGGCTGAATGAGTTTTAGTTTTGTTTTTGTCTGCCACACAAACAAGTAGCTGATTCTTTTGAGTTTACCACTGACAGACAGAGAAGAACTTGTTTCAAATCTGGTCACAGACAGAAGCACTGGCTGCAGCAACCATGAGAATCAATGACTTGGAGGAAGGCTGAAAAAGTAAGCAGCAGAGTTCCACCCCAGGAAAGTAGACTTCAGCTTATTCAAAGAATTACTCGTTAGGATTCCTTGGAAAGCAACCACAAAGGGAAGGGTACCCAGGATGTACAACCGATCTGTAAAGTAAACTAATAAAGAACTTGCCTATTCTGAACCTTTCTGCTATGCAGGAAGACCAGACCTGATTGGCTAAACATGGAGCTTTTGATGAACTAACACACATAAAAAGAATATGTGCACAGTGGAAACACAGACAAGCAATGAGAGAAGCATATAAAAACATAATCTGGGTATCTACAGACAAAACTCAGGATGGTAAATACCCACCTAGAGTTAATTTAGTGCTGGACAGTAGGGGTAACAAGAAGGGATACCACAGCCTCACATGTTTCAAACAGTTGTTCAGGGAAAACACTGGTGCACTGACACACAGGGAAGACAACCCAGCGACAGACAACGCAGGAAAAGTTGAACTACTTAATGCCTTTTTTGCATTGGTCTTCAAGGGCAACTGCACCCAAACAGCAATGTGCACCAGCATGATCTGGGAAAGGCAGAGTCAGGAAACAATGATGGAATTGTCAACTGAAGGACTACTCAAGAGAAGCTGAACTCACTCAGATTCATAGGGGCAAATGGAATTCATTGAAGAGCCCTGAAAAAGAACTGGCTTATGCAATTATGAATTTGTCTGGATCTGCTGTTGACCTGCCTGCCACACACTGAATAATGTGACACATCACATATTTTTCCATCTATAAGGTATGTGATGATTACCATACCCACCTTTCAGGCAGTTTAAGGATTAACGAGCCTGTACTGTGTTTTGGAAGTACAATCTAAATTTCAAACACCATCCAAATCATATGAAAACATTCAGCTGTAATATGTTACTTTATTCACTGATTGATACTGTAGCCAAACAAGGATGTTTGGCTATGTGATGGAACGAGGCGTCCAAGGAGGAGCTTTTACAGTTGAGCTCCGCTAAAGATAAACATCTCTTTTCTGTGCTAATGTAAGGATGGCATAGAAAAGAAGAAGGAATCAGACAAGCATGCTAGGAGTACAAAGTAACAGTGCTAAATGCGCTAGAAACAACCACCTCGGTGATCATGAGTAGCCTGTATTGTTTTTTAATCACTTATTGCTTTAGCCCTTCAGATCAATACAGTATGGTTCTCCTGTGTTTGAAGTTGTATTAAAAAAAAAAAAGGAAAAATACGTTAAAATTACTGCTTTGTATGTTCTTCACAATTATTCATCGCAGTGTGTCAAACTGAAAAGTACTATACAGTCAGCTGTTTGAATTACAAGGAACTGTTCTGTTTCCAACAAATACCAGAACATCCTCAGGAATAAAGCTCTTCACTGTTGAATTACACACCCTTCCCCATTCATTCTTGTCTTTCAGTTTTGGTCTGCCCTACCATTCTCCATAATTTGTGTTTCATCCTTTGTTCCCAGCCTATACAGAACTTTCTACCTGCTTTTAAGTAAAAACAGATTCTGTCTTATAACCCAGTTCTTCCTGTACTTTACCACAATTTATGTTTTGATATTGCAGAAGTATGTAAATAAGCACAGAAATTCTTAACAAGTATGGCAAATATATCTGAAAAGTTACCCCCAAAAAATTCCCTTAATGTTAAATTCAAAGGTATTAGCAGGCAACAAAACAATGACAAAGTAGAAATTAAGCCTCCTCTTTACTTGTAATATACACGTAAAGCTCTCCAAACAAAAACAGTATGTAAGAAACAAGCTGTATTCAACTGATCAGTGAACTTGTCCTGTTGGGTAAATCTCAGTCAACTGAAATGTAAGTAGAAGCCTTACCTCATCAGAAGAGAGAAGGTAAATAGGCGTTAAAGGAGGAATTTCACTTAATTCACAACTTAGGCCAAGCGATACCAGGATCTCCTTGAGAACTTCATATCTCTTGGTATTGCTCATCTTAAGCAAATTAAAATCCTCTTCAGTTTGGAAATCCACAGAACTGATATCCAGTTCCAAGTGCACCTGGCAGGATATGTGCAAAGAGAACTTCAAAAATCATTTTACTGGTATTACACATTTTAGAGTGACAGAGGGAAATGGTCACAACAGTTCCAAAAGCAGCTCTGTCCCAGCTGTGGTTGCTGAACTACCCAGCATGACTAGTGTCATTTAGAAGTCTCATGCTTTCATCATACCCACGTGTAGGTATTATCATCCTAATAAAGGAGGGAATACCAATACATTTATAGGTACCAGCTCAGAGACGACAGTTGTCAGCACGTAACAATTTTCTCAAAAACTATATAAAATATCTCTTCTAAATAAACTGATATTCTCCTGGAGGACTTGTTCAAACCTGTATGTATTCACAAATTTGAACTTCTCCCAGGGCATTTTATGTCTGTTAGCACCCTAGAACCAACACCAGTACTGGTCACATTCCGGCTTGTAGAAGAGAAGAATTACATTAATATTGAAAGGCCTTTATCAGAGGTTGCACAAGATCAGAAGAATTCAGCCTGAACAAATCCTTACTGTGTCACGCAAATTAAGTTGCCATCAGCACAATTAAAGAAATGTCTCTGAAAGTCAACTAAGAACCCCAGAACATCACTTTGTAGAGAATCACATCTCTGGCTGAAGCAGATGTTTAAAAGTAGAAATGATAAGCATTAAAAGTCCCTTCTAGGCCTTTTTTTTTGTTTCAAAATATTTAAAAGCCTTTGTACTCTGCTATATGCACATTCATTTGATGAAAATCACAAGCTGTTACTTGTGTTCATGTCTCCCACTTTGCACATTTTAACAATGTTCTTTATCTTTTATAGATAATCTAACAAAATTCAGAGAAGTCAGCTGAAGGTAGGGGGGGGACAGATATGGACAACAGAAGAGCACAAGAAAAGGGAAACGACAAGTCTATGACAGAATATTTAATAGCTGATGTCACTGTCAACCCCCTGAAGAGAAAACAATAAGGCTTTTCAAATCCAGACTGGAAGTCATTTAAAATTATAAAATGACACTCTAATCCTTTTAATCTGATTTTTGAAGCTACACTGTAATGCTCTTTTTCTGGGGAAAACCTCTGCAGTATTAAGTTTTATTACAGCAGAAGGATCAATTTAAACGGTACAGCAAAGCAGGTTTTACCATGGAACTTGCAGAAATGGATAGCACCAGTATCTAATCAATTTTCTAGTACAAGTATAGAGCACATGGGTGGCAAAACTTCCAACATAAAGCTATAAACATGTTACTACATGTACCAGTGTCCAAAAAACTACCAGATTTAATCTTATAAACTGATGAGAGACAAAAACATTTCTCAGAAACCTGATTGATATTTCTGAATTGAGTAATTGCTAAAAAAGTGCATGCTACCTGACATGTAAGCAGTTACGTCTGAGTGGTTTGGGCTCCTGAGATAGTTCTCCTATAACTAAAATATTGGTAAAAATATCTCCTAGAACCTTCCAAAAAGTTTGTTCGACTACATCTCCATTATATTCCTCATTGACTTAAATATTGGTAAATAAATCTTGTTCTGCTTTTCTCAATGTGCTGCATGAAACCAAAGACAGAGTAAGGCAAGTGATACAATTGGGAACAGCCCTGCTAAAAATAAACAAGCAAAATGAAAACAACAACAACAACCACATTGCTCTCAGCTGCTGCTGAGGCTAACAAAATGTGCAAGTTATCTTCATGCTCACTTTAAAAATTACTGGGAAGTGGCTGAAATCTCTCCCACTTTAGTTAACACAGGCTATATACCCAGGTAGATGCCTTACTCCCCAGGACATAGATTTATTTTCTAAACTTAGTGATACCTCTTATTATCCCTTCTATCACTCAAAATGTTAGACAGCTATCTGAAGATTTCAGTAGTCAGTGGCAAACATTTACCCGTAACACAGCCATGGAAGGTTCCTCACACCTTCTCCAGGAATACAGAGAGTAACAATAACAACAGCAACAGCAACAAAAAGAACTGTTCAACTTAACTGGCACAGTTTTTGGAAGGGGTGGGGCTCTGTTTGTTTGGCTGTTGTTTGTTTTTTAAACAACAATCACAAAACCTTAACACTGAAGAGGTTCCTAGTTGCTGAAATGTTATTATTCTTAAGTGGAGCTAATAAGATTTTGGCTCATTTGTATATTTCCCCTTCCGCCCCCAAGGTGCTCTGAGCTACTTGTTAGATGCAGAATGTTAAACATTTAAAAGTTTAAAGGCCAAAGGAAGACTCTGGAAACAAACAAACAAAAAAATGTTTCCAGCTGACCAGACCTTTCTTGTACTCCCAGAGAATGCATAAACATACATTACTGACTGAAAACATACTTGTCTGCCTCTAGAAAAAGAAAAAAAAAAAAAGGTTAATTAATTTAAATTTTCAGTTTGTTTCAATTTTGATTGTAAATATAAGAAATACATTCCAGACATATAAAAGTGTTTGTGTTTTTGTTGTCATTGTTTCTAATCTGAAAGAGCAGCAAGGCCAACACCACGAACCTATCATCTCCCTAGAAATGATCTGTAGCCAGAACACTGCTAAAGAAAACATGAAACCATTCAGTTCAGTCACAGCACTAAGATACAATCAGAACTGAGAAAAGAGTAACACTATCAGCAAAACAGTACCAGCAGAGCTAAATCAGCAGTGGCATTCCAGGGCTATTCAGACTAATCTTTATTATAGTTACTTGTTCAAGCAAAAAAATGAACAGCAGTTTTGGGGTATACAGTATGCAGCAATGATAGAGGCTGGGACTTTCTCATTTACTACTCACATGTTTCCAAAGGGACTGCCTACCTTAAAACTTAAGAGGAGACTTCTTTAAGGTTTCTTGTGAGCTTTATTTTACTTTCTCTTCTGACTCTCTACTTCACCGTAATTCATATTTTTGTATGGAAGTATGTTGCCATTATAACCCTTCACCCTGAGTTCACTACCACTGCTTTTCCTATTCCCATTTTCCAAAGTCTGCAAAGTGCACAGCTTTGTCACCGTGCAACTTCCAGCAGGCAGAAAAGGATAGCTCTGCTCTTGAAGATGCTTTCTTACTATGCATATTTGCTATCTCCTCTGCCACCCACTGTGATCACGCATGACCTACATGTTCATGGCTACATGGTGAAGACAAGGACTGGAACAGCAGTGACACTTTCTATCCTTCATTAAGCTTCCCAAGAACCAAGGGAAAACCATTCTGTATTCAGAGTCCTTGTACAATCACCAAAATATCCATCCATACTTGCCCCTTGAAAGCATCCCAAAGAGCAAGCAGTAAGAACCAGTGAATTTTTTTAGCATATCACCATATCGTGTAGCAATGTGCAAATCGATGCTTTTGCATACACAGTACCTGAGAAAGAATGGCTTCTCCTCCATTGTCTCCGTAAGGCAGATGAACAATAACTGTATCTTTATCAGCATTATTTAAATGACTCAATGGCTTCACTTTGCTGTTACTTTCCTTCTTTACTTCAAAAATACAGCCACTGATCAAAAGGTTTAATTTCACTTCAGTGCTGTCAGTTTTAGAGACAACTAATTCATGAACGGTCTTCTTCAGTTTGTCTTTTCTCTTTATTTGTATACCACCAAATGTAAACGAGGAAGAAAACCCTAGAATCTTTCCACCCTTAGATAAAAACTTCACAAACTGTTCTTGGTTCTTGTCAGAAATAGGCTCCTCTGTGGCAATGATCAACAGCATTGCATTATCAATCCATGGATCTTTCAGAACTTGCTCCTCATGCAGCTGGTAGATGGTGTAGTTGTCTGCATCAATGCATTCCAGGAGGATTGATTTTACTTGGTCAAATTCCACTTTTGCAGTTTCAGAACCAACATAAATCAACACATTAGGGGGCTTTCCAGCAAGGTTTACTCTCTTTATTCCTGTTGCCAGACAATCACCACCATTCTCATCCAGTTTGCTATTGCAATGGTCAGAAAGTTCTGGAATGTCTTCTGCAGAGGCAAATCTGACAGATTCAATAGTGCTGTTTTCAAGCTGCAGACATTCGTGACAGCTCGAAAGATGCAAGTGATGATGCTCTCCAAAGCCTGTCTCTTTGTCAGACGGGCTGTTGGATTCATCTTCATACTCGCTTTCTTTCTCTAGCTTGGATTTCTCTTCTGCCTCTTGATCACCTTGTCCTACAGACTCAGCTACTCCTAACTTTGATTTAGCAGTAGTCCCAAGAGTAGCAGTAGGAGTTGCTTCATTCACCTGTGTACTGTTTCTACTCATCTCTTTTACAGCTGGTGCCACCTGCGTCAACTCCTTCAGAGTCGATTCCTGTAAATGGACAGCTGGAAGAGTTAAATAATAAGAAAAAGGAGTTATAAAAATTATATTAAAAGATCTACAACAAATATCAGGATCTAGGTTTAATTTCAGTGCAAATCATCAAGAATACTAAGAATTCCACTAGTTTGACAAACTAAACCCTACACCTTTGAATATTAAAAATTTGCACTCATGTTCTTTACTCTAATGACTATTTGTTTCAGGAAAGTGTGTCAAAGCATAGCACTTGTCATTTACAGGGAACATTTAAATAAACACTAGCATTCTTTGGAAGTACACAAATATTTGGATAAAAATAAAACCTGACAGCTACCGTATGTGATCCAGACATGTTCTTAACAGAACAGTAGTCTATGGGAGGAAGGGAAGGAAGTTTTCACACAAATGCATCAGCTTATCAGCTTATATTATTTTGTCCATGACTAAAATAAGTACAAAACAAAGCAAGGGAAGTACCTTTGGAAAAATACTGGTCTCTTTAGGAGGGTAGGGTGGAAAATTCCTTGCTGTTATTTTGAAATAAACTATTTTGAAATAAGCTATTCAAGTGATGATATTGGGTAAGATGGAAACACTGAACTATGTCTCTTGCATTGCTGTAGGCAGCAAAATAAAAAGTTTTGCACAAGTATGAAAGGGAGGAGAAACATCTGAATTGCTGAACTGCTTCCAATCTGCAGAAAGGGAGGCATAACCAGCCAAGCAAGATGTGAGCTAAAAATCCAAGGAAAACATAACAAATTGGAAGGTTTAAACTCTCCGTTTCCCCCCAAATGGAAATGCAGAGATAAACAATTTCTGGCAAGTACAAATGAGAAAAGAAGGGCAATGATGCCTATTGTTATTAGAACTTGTAGAGCAAACTGAGAAAGAGAGAAAAATTGCTCTTTGTATGGTAAATGATTTCTTTCAGGTTCTGAGCCATGGAAACATTTTAAATCAAAGCACACAAAACTTTACTGAATCCCTCTCCACTCCCACAAGGCCAAATAAACTTACTAAGTTGTTGTTTCTGATTTCTTACATAAATTCAGTGAGAAAGTAGATTAACAAAATAGTCAACTGGCACCCAACACACCAGATCCAAATTCAATTACTTTCTTCACTTAAGAACACTTGAAACCCCTTGAATCTACATCCCTTTGCCTACTTTGGAATGCAAATTTGAAGTATGTGTTTTCAGACCCCAGAAGAATTTCACAGCTGTCATCATATTATTCCATCAAGAAACTCCATCAGTCTCTTTTGAAGCGGTTTTAGCATGAACATAGTACCTGACGCAAAATGAACCAGAAAAAGTGGCTCTCCGTGTCTCTTGGGAAACTATCCCAGCTTCTATCCCCTGCATGCATGCATGAATGTTTTTGCAAAACAGCACCAAGAGGAAACTGAGTTTCATGCCAGGTATATTTGCCAGCATATTCCTCATATTCCCGCCAGCTTGCTCCCTAGCTAGTTGTTCTTGATTTTGCCATTCCCTGGCCTGTGCCAATGCACTACAATCTATGTTTTTAAAAAATTTGGAAAAAAAAAAAAAAGGCTTTTTCCCTCATTTTGCAGTGAGAGTAAGGGGCTATAGAGGGATCTTTGCAGCCCAAATCATTGTATTATTGTTGGTGAACTCATGACCCCACAGTTTTATCAACACAGATGAGAAGGCACAACTGGAGAAGAAGAAACAACACCATTGTTGAAGAAAAAAAAAGAAAAAGGATCTACTCACAGAGAGCCCACCATTTCACAATACCCTAGAATGTATTAATATGCAGTCTGTATTAGAATCATGCTGGAAACAAACGTTCAATTTTCACAAAGGAAAGAGAGGTGAACCTTGGACTTCCCGCAGCTCAGACAACAATTCTATTTAAGTGTAGTATTACAAATGGAACCACTATTACTACTTGTCCTCTGTGTGTGATCTGCCCTAACTTCCTCCCTACCTTTGCCAAAGCTATTAAGCTAATGAGGACACAATTGCTAATAGCTTTGATATCATTAAAGTTACCTCCTAAAAGAAATATACCATCCACCAAAAATTCAAAGTTCAATTAGCACTGAAAACATCCTCTTTCTCTTGGTTATTTCTTTCCATCTGTTTAGAAAGCACATGATCTCTTCTCTCAGTGATCCAAAGAATGAAGATGCTCAGTTTAGAGCAATTGTTCTCAAACTGTGTTTAGCTTTGAAGATACTTTCATTTCAAAACTGAAAAGAGAACATTTGACTAAAACCTTCTGTAATTTTTGCAAACAGTTCAGTTAATCTAACAGGCAAGCTTACAGAAACGATATTTTCCAACTTCACCGTTGTGATGCTTATACTTTCATGCGTATTTGGAAAAAGGAAAAATACCATCTTAGATACTCAAGAATATCATCGTACTAAGGTTAATTATAGGCAGTAGCTTATGAGGCAATACAGGAATAAAAAATAATGTTTTTAATTCCAATGTCTTTGAACTATTTTTCTGTTATTTTTGTTGCTGTATTCATAACACATTCTGTAAAGAGAAACTCAATCAAAAAGTGGTCTAACTTTTCAACAGTCTCTATATTTGACAATATTCAGTATAAAATATGACAGTGCAAGAGTGATGAAATGCCTAAAATGACAACAGGAAGAAAACACTGCACAAAAATAAAACCATGTTTACTTATGTAGGTATGAAGATGATGTGTACAGTCCTAAAATAGCTATAAAACAAAGATGTTTTACCATTAAAAACACAATTTACGACCATACTTACAAACAATCTTGTGTGGCACCATTCCGTTATCCATTTGAAGCCTGTCTTCCATGAATGCTATTCCAAGGTTGCTGAAATTATCTACACTTGCTTCAGCAATTAATTTATAAGGTTCCCCAGGTTTATAGGCCAATGGTGAACAATAGTCTGACCACTTCACAACCTAGGAATAAATCATACACATGTTTTTCAGCTTGAAAATGATACAGCAAAATATCAAAATACCAACAGTATAATGCTTCTGTGAGATGAACTGCAAGTAAAACTGCCCTTCCTTCCCTAAGGATTCTGCTATTAAAAAGCCTCACAACAATAGGCAAAGCTAACAAAGGGACGTTCCCAAACCAAAAAAGCACAACTGGTGAATTCAAGTACCAGAAATAATTTTACTACTTTATCAGAAGTATTAAGTAAGCACAAAAGATTCAAGTTGCTCATATACATCAAAAATTCTGCTCTCCAGAACGGTCTTATGAAAATTACACACTTGGGTTCAGCTGCTCAGAGAAGGTTTGTGAAACCCAAACTATACAGTTGTAGTGGCTTGGAAAACGACTTTCAAGTTTAACCATAAAACCACCAGGTCAGCTGCATGCTTTAACATGCAGGTTAAACTCAAATTCTGAAATACAAGAGCAAGTAATAGCTTCAAACCAGCTACACCAGAACGCACAGCTGGTGAAAGCCAGCCCTCACATTCATGCCTGATGTATCACTCAGGTCCTGGACATAATGACCACTCACTGGTTAAAGCAATAGCAATGAATTTCATAGAATCATAGAATCATTAGGGTTGGGAAAGACCTCCAAGATCATCTGATCCAACCATCCCCCTACTACCAATGTCACCCATTAAACCATGTCCCTAAGTACCATGTCCAACCTTTCCTTAAACACCCCCAGGGACAGTGATTCTATCACCTCGCTCGGGCAACCCATTCCAGCGCCTGACTGCTCTGTCTGAGAAGAAATGTCTCCTAATTTCCAACCTAAATCTCCCCTGGAGTTTCTACTTCTAGGACTTGAAAAGTCACCTCTGCGACTCTGTACCAGCCCCAAAGTTACACGATATATTTCTGGGCACAATGGTATCAACCAGTTCTGAAGAAAAACATCTGCTTCTGGAAGATACCTATCCTAGCCCCTGCTAGACTTGTATCACTGCAGTTGGAGCATCAGTCAGACTTCCCCCCACTGTCACTGGGGAAATTTGTGACCAAATCAGCCAATTACCCCCAACTAACTGCCTTGAGTGATGTCCTGAACGACACTGTCACTTTCCAGATGGAAGGAATTCCCAGCTGTGTAGTCCACTGGTGCAATACCCACAGCTGAAATGGAAGTATCCTATTGTAGTCATAAGGGGTATTACTCTCAGAGCCTACTGCTAACTGTTAGCAGTTTGTGATCGCTGGTAGCTAATGTGTAATGATACATTTATGTCAAAGGATACTGGCTTCCTCCTCTTTTGCTTAACTGATTACCTACTCCCACAGCATTGTATTGACCTTCACAGCATAAAGGACTGATCTACACTGCTAGTAGTAACATTATTGCCATGTTACATTCTCTCATGCTTCTGAGGATAAGACCAAAACCAAATTCATTGTCACTCTAAAATCTTACCAGGTATATGTAAAACACATGCTTTGGCAGCTCTAGTTTCACTGATAGATTCTCTATGGAGAAGTCAGAAATGCCTCCCTTCCCCTGTGCTGTGTTTTAAACCCAGCAGGCAGCTAAGTGCCACTCTCTCTCTCTTCCCAGGTGGGAGAGAGAATCAGAAAGGTAAAAATACAAGAACTCATGCGTCGAGATAAAGACAGTTTACTAGGTAAAGCAAAACCTGCACAAAAAAAAAAAAAAAAAAAAAAAAAAAGGCAAAAAAGCAAAGCAAACGGGGAATTCATTCATTACTTCCCATCACGCAGACATTCAGCCACCACCAGAAAAGCAGTGCTCATCGTGCCTAATGTTTCTTGGGATTACAAACGCCATCATTCCCAATATCCCCCCTCCCCCTTCTTCCTTCTTTCTCCCAGCTGTTATTGCTGAGCATGACACCATGTCATATGGGACATCCCTCTGGCCAGCTTGGGTCAGCTGTCCTGGCTGTGTCCCCTCCGCCTCCTGGTGCCCTCCCAGCCTCCTCATTGGCAGGGCAGGAAAGTCCTTGGCTCTGTGTAAGTGCTGTTCTGCAACAACTAAAACATCAACGTGTTACCACCATTATTGTCATCAAAAATCCAAACCACCACATCGTACAAGTCTCCACATAGAAAATTAACTCTATCCCAACCAAATACATGTTATCATATCTGGGGCAACCAGAATAATAATCTTAGGTCAGACCCCAGGGAAGAGGACAGATTACGAAACATGAAACGCTTAGTCATAACCTGCATGAAGCTCTCTGATATCAGATTTTCACTAAGACCAGAAGTGCTTCTTCTAATCCACATCATAGACACATGCACATACCACTGTTCTGGACCAGAATTTTTCCAAGAGCTATGCAGCTGCCTTGTCTCTTTGCCCAGGAATTCAGCAAGAGGTCAACCACTCTTAGACACTCAAGAGTGTCTAACCTTTCTCACCTTTCTCTCTTCTCCTTCTCTGCATGTCCTTCAAGTCAAGTCTTCTATAACCCTCTCTCTTTTCTTCAGCATATGATTTTGGGCTACTCCCTGTGGTAGAAGGTAAAAGACTCACACCATTTTTAAGATATCCTTTAGATATCCTTTCTTATCCAGAAAACAGGCACAAGCAGCTAACACCCACATCATCTGCAAACTGTGAGGATATACTGAGGCCTTTACCATTTTTCATGGCACCAAGTAAAACATTAGACAGAATAACAAGTAACAACAAGAAGCGGTTATTGCTGTTTAGTGCAAATAAAGTAAATACACAAAAGAACCTCACAAAGTTAGGCTGCTGCCAAGACATATGACCTGGAATCCTGTTCATGCAACAATCCACAATGTACAAAAGTCCTCAGAAAGCATTTTCAAACCAGCCTTGCTTTTCTGCTTCTTCATCAAAATTCTGCCAGAATAAAAAATGAAAGGCTAGCTCTTATTAAGAGATGAGAATTTCTTTATACTCCTGCTTTCTAGATCCACCCTAGTTTCAGCAGAAACCAGTCACAGATCACTGATTGCTGTACAAAGAACAGCTTTTCTCTCTAGAAATTCTTGTAGGCCACAAGAACAATCTGTTCTTACAATCCCTGTCTAGGTTGACAGCTGGCTGCCAGAGGTAGCAGAATTAAAAGCACTTCTAGTTAAGTGACACGTACACGGAACAATAATAAACAAAATAAAACGGCAGTTCTTTGTAGTTTCAGTCTTTTGTCTGGACTATTGCTTTTGAGCTTGATAAATCAAATTGATCATAATTAATGTCTATAGAAGAATGCAAACATTTTTCATTCTAAAGAAAATGCAAACTGTCTAGTTTATCTCCCACAATCAGAACTCACCTGGATGATTCCTCGGACTTACATCGAAGGCAACAAAAACATCAACAAAATAGCTAATGTGGCTGCTTCCTACATGCTCCAAGGAAACACAAAGCAAGCTGGACCAGGGTCAGAAGGCTTCAGCAGAAAAGGTCTCGGAGCTCTCAACAAGCTTTCAGTGCCTCTAGTCCTCACAGTCTGGTTTTCATGGAGATAATGATCTGGCCTGATGTAGCATGGAGATAATGATCTGGCCTGATCTGGCACTTCAGCTGGACATCATTCCTCTAGAGGGCAAAGACTAACACGTTCCAAAAGCATGCTCTGTTCTCCATTCAAAGGCTTACGTGGAAGGTGAAGGTACTAAAAACTGGATTGCAGACACATCTGGATTTGTGCCCATTCCAGATCTGTCCTTCTGTTCCTGTACTGAAGTTAGGTAAGTCTATTTACCACCCACTCTGTTCTCAGTGTTCACTCCAGCAGTGAGTGCTCTGGATCATCTCTCAAACAAGCTGCCTGGAAAATGCATGTTCCTCATCCAGGGAAGCCGATGAGCCACGGCCACTTGCGGACGTGACTGGTTTCCTTTAACAACAGAAAGGGACAGGCAACCTGCTGCCAGAAAGCAAGGATGACAGATGGTCCTGTGGGGTGCTGAGTGGAACTGTTCAGGAAGACACCTTGTTGATTCCCTTCAGATGGGGATCCTAGCTTGTAGTGTAGCATAAAATAGCCTAGTTATTAGAGAAGACTCTGTCTATCTCAGTGATCAGGCCAGATATTTTACTACTGTCTCCCCAGAGATCTCCTAGCATGCCTGTCTTTCCATATCTTCTCTTTTCTGTAGGCAGTATATTCCTATTCACTAAGGAGAGTGTACAACATGCAAAAACAGACTGCCTTAGGAAGGACCTCAGGCAACCTGTACCACAGCCAAGACTTTTCCTTCCCTCAAAGTTATGTTTGTCTTTTGCTTTGGCTTATAACTTTTCTTCCCCTTCAGACCTGCATCCAAGCTGAGACACTTGGACAGAAAAAATTCCTCATGTGAGGAAAAAGTTACTAGAACAACAAAATTTAGGGGAGAGAGAAGTTGTCTCAAGTTCATAGTAAATCTTGATGGGCTCTACATACTGCTTATAATGCATAATTCATTCAGAGATGCTATATATACAGTAAGTCAAATTTTAGAACATCATATTTTAAATCTGTGTCTTTCCACTTTCAGCACAGTACTGGAGAAGGGACTTTAAGATTTCTAAGCATCTAGGATGTGAACATTTTCTAAGTGTGCTTGCCATAAGGATTTCAGTACTAGTTTAATTTATGTCTCTGGATGCCTCAAGAACATTTTGTCAGTATTATTTATTACAGGTCAAACACAATTTATAAGTTTGCAAACAAAAAGTACTGACATTCCCCCACCGCATTTCACAGAAAAGAAAGGAACTGATTTGTGCCTTTCTTCTATAAACTTTGACAAAATTATCCAAGTGTATAGCACCAAACTTGTATTTATAAATCACAATGGAAGGAAGCTTCCAAGAGAGGTTTCCATTTCAATTGCAACTTTTTACACTCGGTCTGAGATTGATGAGCTTTTCAGAAGTCATAACATATGCTTGCTTTGTGTATTTTTACTTTGGCATTTGCTTCAGTTAGTGTCAGAGATAACATACTGAGATAAATGGACTTTTGATCTGCCTTAGTATGACAGCTCTTGAGCTGTTTTTTCCTGTTCAACATATATAACCATATATGCTTCACCCAATCATGACTAAATTCTGCAGTTTCTGTCCACAGACAGAGAAGTTTGCTACAAAAATAAACCACTCAGGAAAATGTCTATGAGTTTATTTGAAGTATAAAATAGAACTAAAGTATTAAGTGATCAAGTTTAATGAAGAGCTTATATTTTTATTCCTAGAAACACTGTAAATGTATAAAACCTATCTGCCATTGATTTGTTTCCGTCAAGCATTTTGGAGTTATGCCTACCAACTGAGTTCTCCATACTACTTTCTTTGCAAGAAACAAAGAAAACTGCTTACCTCTTTCGAAGAGACAGGTACTTTCTGCAAGTTATCTGTCTGAGCTGAAATGCTTTCTGTCACAAAAGCTATATGTTCTGCTTCTAGCAATTTATCAGGATAAATAAAAGGAGAAATGAGAAGTAGACTCCATCTGTTTAAATCATCAAGGAGCTGAAAGAAACAGGAAAGAAAAATAAGTCTATATGGAACATCTGATTTAATAATTTTTTTCTAAATTATCCCCAGCCCAAATTCAAATCTGACCCTTCAGCTTAACATGAACACTCTCTGTAATGCCATGAGGAAAACAACTTCCCATGAGGACAAAAAGGGGTAAAAGGTCTGAACCATTAAGCAAGTAAAGTAAAATAAAAAGTGACAACCCAAGCTTTCAAGCCAATCCAGATTCCAGCTGTCAGCATTGCTGTAGGAGTACACAGCTGAGTGGGCCACTGATGACAGCCATGCCATTGGCACCATGACATTCTGTGGGCCGTTGGTCACTGGATTCTGCCGTCTGCAGCATCCTTCATCCAACCCAATCCTCTTCTCCTATCCATGCTACAGTCCACCCTGCCTCCTCCATCCTTCTTTCTTCTCTGACTACACAAAGCCATGGTCCTGATGCCTTGGTTCTGGCTCTTGATGGCAGAAGACCACTGCCAACTCCTTGGCAGGGGCTACAAGAGCAGTCATAATGCATGGCCTGCCTGGGCAGTCAGGACAGCGCCAGTGCCATTGCCTGGCTAGCACTGCAGGTGGCTTTCATTCTAGTCGGGTAACAGTCCTCCAGGAAACCTTCTGTCCCACAGCCAAATAATACACACTGCCTCTATACCCATCTGCCCAAAGAGCAGTCAGCCCGTGAGCCACAAATGACCCAAGAACCATACGTTACATGGGCCTAATTTTTAGGATACCTAATTTACCTAACTTATAAAGTTTTAGGATGTCTTTCCTAAAGCTATATAACGACAGTTATATTTTGTTGACAGGTCTAGCCTCCTAAGAACTACGACAAATTCCTAATCTTAAAAAATGATTTGAAAGAGAAGGAGAGGGTACTTTTTAAAGTATTAAATCTTCATGCACTAGCACCTAAATAATTCATTCAGTATGTAACTCTAAACTTAGAGAAATAAATCATTCAAAGGAAGTTTGCCTTTAAGGTAGTGCATCCACTTAGCAGACCACTGGGCAAGCACTTTTCTTCATTAAATTATAAAAATTGTTCCCTCGCACCTCCTCATCAGGGAGCAAATAAAGCTCAATAGCTGGCATCACTATACCAAACAACAGCATTAAGAACCTCAACACTTCTCCATAAATAATCTGTTCCCATATCATCTTATGTCAAATTTTACACAGATATTGCATTGAACTTTCTTTCTCTGACATATTTTAAAGGCGACAAACGTCAAAAGAAATGGTTATTTCAGAACTACTATGCTAGGAACAGGTTTTGTATGCCTTCAGTAACTTTAGGTAGAAATGTAAGAAAGAGTTGCCTTTGAACACGCTACATGTATATACATCGCTCCACATGTAAATGGAAAGGGTGCATTAAGTCTTGCTTGAAGAACTAAAATTAAAGGGGACAGACAGACAGGCTAGACTGCCCGACCGACCAGCTTCACAGAGCGTGGAAGCTGCAAGAGCAAACACTGCTACCTACGGGAAAGTGAGCTAATCTGATGGAGCTTTATAATACCTTAAGCCTCCAATTTGACTACAGATCAAACAACAATGCTGGATGGGTTACCATTTAGAGCCGCTGCTATCTTATCTTAAGGAAGTTACTGACTGCAGCCCAGAGGCAGTTACGCCTACTTGGAAACCAAACTAGCCCAGCTAGCTTCCTAGAAGCCAAAAAAGCATGAGAATTAAACTTTTTTTTTCTCTTCACGGTGTTTGGGGATGATGCCACCCCTACCCTTAATGCCGTTAGGTCAGAGCCCTTGGGTGTCACACGACCGAGGTGTAAGGTGGCAGGCGTCTCACGCGGGGACTCAGAGTCAGATCCAACTGGGAATTTCAGTGCATAATTTGAAGGGGCGAATACACTTTGAGTTAAGAGAACTTTCAGTGCATGTTTCGAAGGGGCGAGTACGTTTTGAATAAGAGCCCTGACTTTACGCCAAACTTTAAGGAAAAAAGAAAAAAATAACGGATCTCTGGAGGGGTTTCCTAACTCCCCAAAGCGCAAATAAACATTTATTTCTCATTTTTTAAGCCTGGGGAGGGGACGGCCGCGCCGGCAGCGCCCCCCCCCCCCCCGGTTGCCGTGGCGACGGCTGAGCCGTCGCCACGGCAACCGGGGGGGGGGGGCGCTGCCGGCGCGGCCGCTCCCCGCCCCTCTCGCCTTGCCCCGTCCCCCCACTCCCCGTTTACCTGCGCCTCGTCCGTGAAGAAGACTTTGTTCCCCAGCCTGAGGCACACGCGCTCGTCGGGCGGCGCGGCGCGGCGGCAGCAGCGGCAGCAGAAGGTGAAGGAAGCAGCGGGAGCGGTGCAGGCGCCGCACTGTGCGCCGGATCAGCGCGGCCGAGCAGGGCCCCCAGCGCGCCCATAGGTAGAGGTAGCACAGCGTGATCAGCATGGCGGGCGCGGCACCACCCCCCCACCCTCCCTCAACCGCCGCCTCCAACCGCCCCGCCCCGCCAACGGCCACCAACGGCCGGCAACCGCCGGGCGGGGGCACGCCCCGAGCCACGCCCCGAGCCACGCCTACCCCCTGTTGGCTCCCTCCCTCCCCTCCGCCTCTCCGTTTGGCTGCCGGCATGACGCCCCCGCCCTTTTTTAAATGGCGGCGCTGCCCCAACGGAGCCTTCAAGGGGCGCGGGAGGGGGTGCGGTGCCGCCCGCAAGGCAAAACTGCGTTTGAAACCAAGCGAAAGGAAAATAATTAAACATATTTAGTTAAAATAAATAAAAACCTGTTTTGTATTCGTGTGTGGTGTGAATCCTTACAAAGTTCCTGCGGGATGGGCAGTGGGGAGTAGCGTATATCCGCCTTTCCCAAGCGTTTTGACCCGTTCTGACCCAATTCCTCAAGGGATCGTTCATTTTCCTGCTCTCCACAGTCAATGCTGTCCACATGAACAATGTTTTGCGGTGAAAGCAAGTATTTAGTGGTTTAGCGTTGTGGATTATGGGCTCTGCCACGCACACATTACGTTATAGATGCGATTCAGAGGACTAGACTCATGTTTCTGCTATAGAAATATCTTTCCTCACCTGTCAGGTGAGTTGTATGAAAGTATATGCAGTAGACAAAACAGTAACAGTCAAATGTATTGCTAGCTTTCATGCAGAAACATGGAACGAGTCTTCTCTTCCTCAAGAATGATTCAGCTTTGCCACCCAACCTTATTTTAGGGTCCATTGCATCTTATGGGAGCAGCGTCTCTGGTCACAAACACAGGAAAAACACCGGACATCAGACCCTGTACATACGGATAGCCACCAGAGGGCAAAGCAGGCACGAGCTGACACATTTGATTTCACTTAAATATTCGTTTAATTCAATAGGATTCGCCAAATAGGAAACCTGAAATCACTGTTCTGAGGGGCAGGTCGTTGAACCGGGAGTGAAGAGTGTATTGGGGAATAAAACTGTGTGATGGGCATGTGCCCTGTGTGCTACAGACACAGCTTGCCAATTGGGAGGAAGCAGTAAACAAACTTACACAAGGTATCCACTACTCAGCTGGCAGGTCTATGCATGAATGTTATGAAATAATTCTTATATTTTACACGAAAGGTCTAGTGTAGTGGTAATATTGAGTTCTGTAAAAAGAACACATATCAGCCTAATCCTGGAGGCTATTTAGTGAGTAGAAGAAAAAATATGAGGAAAACTGCAAAAAGATTAAAAGAAAGATAGTGACATCATCATTAAACAGTTGTAGCTGATTGATATGTAACAATCATTTCCTGAACAGGACATGAAGCTACATTCATTTTTATTATTCTGAACTCAAGGCCTTTTATGCTCTTGGAAATTTACGAGAATAGGTATTCTAAAATCACAATTTTCCAAAAGAATCTCCAGCAACACCACAGTAGCATTGCAGATAAACAAGGAACAGATCAGCCATGCAGTTTGGCATGGGTATCAATATCAAAAAACACCACCAGTACTATGGCAGGCATTTTTAGTACCGTGACAGACATTTTTATTTCTATAAATCTGCACCCACAGCAGAACCTTATCCAAAATGACAGGAATCTCTGACATAATTTTAATTTCTACAACACATGGTGGAGATGTTTGACATTTTCAGTTGGAATGTCAAATAATTTAAACAATTCCCTCCCTCCATTTCAAGCTTATGAAGTATCACCCTTGTATCGCTACTATATCCTCTACATATTCTACAGAGAGAGAAACTAAGTCTCTAGTGGTTCTAACTTTGCATTATGCACTGTTTCTTTGTGTGGATTATCTTATGCAGGAAGTCAAAATACTTACACATCTTACACAAAATACTTACAGGCACATCAAAAGAAAGAAAACAAGCCAAGTGTACAGCCTCTAAAGAAAGCTCTCAGCTTTGGAATTCACTTTCCCTGTAACAGTTCAACAGCCCATGCATTGCTGACCTTCAGAGCACACTGCAAAACACAACTGTTTATATAACCTTTGCACGATGAGGAACATACTTTGTTTAATCCTTCAGTATTCAATGACAGCATTGAATGCTGTCAACTATGTTTTGATTCCCCCCCCCCTTTTTTTTAAGGTTGCTTCGCCCTGCAAAAGTTTATGAACATATGAGAAAAATGAGTCAAAACTTCATGATAGAAGGGAATGTAAAGCAGAACAATATATAGGCAAAAACAGTCACCATTTTAAGACAGTGAGATGTTGGAACATTTTCAATAAGAACGATTTGAAGCCATAACATTGCTGTAGGTGTTCAAATTTCTGTCATAGTGTAGCTTAGACTTAATCGTGACAGGTTGATTAAAAGGTTAGGAATTTTATACTGGGAAACATTCTTTTGTATTATTATAAAGTCAAGGCCATTTACGCACTAGGAAATTTACTAAAATAGGTATTCTAAAATAACTATGTCAATCAGTTTCTCCATAAAGGGGGGTGGAAGGAAGCCTTGAAAATAAATGGTGAGTAATATTAGCTCTCAGACTTCCCAGAACTCTTGCGTATTTGTCAGAGAGAACAGATTACAGAAAAATGTTGCAAGATGCAGAACACAGGCACACACAGACATGAAATTGTTTAAAGAGAATTAGGTAAACCCTGAATAAAAGGCATAGGCTAAATTTTGAATTTCTGCTTGCAGCCTGGGGGACCCACCCTTAAATGAGATAGATGGACCAATTTCAGCAAAGACGGTTAAGTCTCTTTAGACTCTTTAAAAAGCCAATGTGGGAAGGCTTCCAAAAGACTCAGAACAGGAGGGTCAAGTCTACCATGAAACCCCAATGTGGAAGAGCTTCTCTCTCTCTCTCTCTCTCTCTTTTTTTTTTTTTTTTTTTAAAACTTTAAAATGAGTATTATGAGACTGGCTTTGCTGTACTTTGTAAATGACTTTGCTTCTTCCGCTTCCCTGTCCCATGAGAATTTTTCCAACAATTTATTTTTGAGGAGCTTTGCATGCTATTAATGGCTACAAATGCCCATGTTATGTTGTTTAATGCCAAGTATTATTTAAAACTATAAATGCTTTAGAATCAACCTGACTCCTGGACCTATCCAATTCATACTGAGTATTATTTCTTCTTGCAAATGCATAAGTGCTTTCATGAGAAAACTGAGTAGAACAGGTTTCCATCAGAAATAGACAAGCATTTGTAACAGAATCAGTATTTTCTGATTCTGTGAAGTGTTCTTCACCAAACGCAGCACCTCATATTTAAAGTAAGTATATTGCAAAGAGTAAAGTAGTTCTTCCTTCCAGTATCTAAAGAGGGCTACAGGAAAGTTGGGGAGGGACTCTGTGTCAGGGAGTGCAGTGACAGGAAAACGGGGAATGGCTTTAAACTAAAAGAGGGAACATTTAGAATAGATACAAGGAATAAACTCTTCACTCAGAGGGTGGTGAGGCACTGGCACAGGTTGCTCAGAGAAGCCATGGATGCCCCATCGCTGGATGGGGCTTTATCAACCTGGTCTAGGAGGTATCCCTGCCCATGGCAGGGTTGGAATGAGATGGTCTTTAAGGTCTTTTTTAACCAAACTATTCTATGATTCTTACAATTAGACAGCTATGAATGGAGTAACCAATCCTTTTTTTTTTTTTTCTTCTTGTCTTTTTCTTTTTCCTTTTTCTTTGAAACTAGAGATCAAACATTAATACAGCTGCTCGTATTTTACTGGACTAAACCATTTTCTACATATCTGTAACCTGAATTTAGCTAGTGATTTCCATGAAAATACTCATTAAAAATGTATGCTTCAATTGATTAAAACAACAATGTAATATTAACTTACATTTTTCTATGTTACCTATTGATTACATCAGATTACATTATAACTTCATTAACAATATAATATGTTCAATAATTTTATAACAGATTTGGTCTTGCAGGGCTTTATTAACAGATTTATTTGATGGTAACTTTTCATATTCCAGAGAGCTATGCTTTAGTATTTTAGGGTTTAATTCTGCACTAATATCCCTGTTGGCAGATCCTTTCCAGAGCTATAAATCAATTATCCCCACATATGGATCCGATTGCAAGATTGGGACCATAGACATCAGTTGTGTAATGCACACTTCCTTTTCAGCTATCAAATTAAATTAGATCTAAATAAAACTAAGCTGATGAAATTACATATTTGTATTTAAGACTGTAATTCAGCAAAATATGTAATTATAATTCAGGTTACTTAGGAAGTTTGCTTTTTTTTTTATTTTTTTCCTAGAACCCATGCTGCTATTTAATATACAGTTATTTGAACACTAATCACTACATTCTTCATTTCAATAATTGTACTGATTTTGATACATAAATGTTTAAAGTTACAGAGACTGTTCATATACTTTTTTTTTCTTTCAAATGCAGTCTTATTTACTTAGTTACAAATTTACAAATATTACACAGCATTGAAACATGGGAGGGCGTAGAGTTAGACTCAGAGCCCTCTGTTCCAGTCAGTGCTTTCCAGAACAGCATTTAATGGCTTTGACCTTTTAAGTTTAAACTGTGTCTATTTGTCACAGCAAGAATGGCTGTTTTAAAGAATGGGGAAAATTAATGTAAATGTTGGTCTTCAACACATCAAATTCCAGAATATGTTACGTAAGACTACTTCAAAAACATAAGTACTTCTGTAATGCTGTTATTTTAGCAGTCAAGTAGCTAACACAACTATTCAACTTGCACCAACATAGGAAAATCAGTCTTTCAAATCTGACTGAAATTCCTTCCTGTTGGGAATAGGAAAACTTAATTTCAAGAAAAAAAAAAGTGCAAAGATACAGAATGTCTTCTAATACAGAGCAATAACAAAGGAAAATGATGTCTCTCAAGCAAGTATATCCAGTGGTCTTCATCTGTGAGTCCTGCCCTTTCTTGCTGACTGGACATGTGCTACCTTCTGCTGTATCACAGCTTGGAAAAGAGCCATGAAGGCTCATGTAGGAGGAACATGTCTCCCACAGAGAATTGCCAGCATCCTCTCAAAGTGAATGTTTTGATGGCTTTTTCAGCTCAAGGATCTAATTCATTCTGAATAATCAATGGACAATCCATGTTCACTAAGCAAAATTATTTTTCTCTCTCTGGGAAAAAAGTTCACAGTAGAAGCTGATTATATTTGGGAGTTCAACCTGTTCTCTTTGATGTCTATGTGTAAACAGCACCAGTGGGAAGAGAATTCAGTATTAGGTTCTTATAATCCTCTCGCATCTCTGCAGTAATTGAGAAATAAAGGAAACAAAGTGAACTGTTGCAATGAACCATAACAATGAAAATCAGATAATGTCACCCACCAGGTAATAAATCGTTCTTGTACAATGTAATAGGTAACAAGTAATGCTTAGTACAAATGAAAACAGTAGGGAGGAAGCTTAGACTGTTCCTATTCATTCTTTGTAGGCTTAAACCATATATTGCATATTGTGAAATAAAACATTCCTCAAAGCAATGGAATTTGTAACTCTTATTCTTTGAAAAGATGAAGTAATCTTTCTTGGCATAAGCTTTCTTCTTCATCCATCAAATAACAAGCAAATTAAAGGAACATCCCAATAGCCTCGAGGAAGTCACAAGGCCTATCCTCTCACCTTCACTGAATTTTGGTATCTTTTTATCTTTTGAAGTTAGAAAATGGAAAAGACTTCAGTCATTGTAATTTTTTATGTATACTTAAAATTCTCTTTGAATTTCAGTTACATTTTTTTAGGAGCAGATGCTGATGAGCTTTCCCAAGACACACACAATGTAAACCATTGTATATTTCATACAGAACAAATACAGATTTTGTAAAACATCAACAGAAAGACAAAGGAAACATTATTCAATATGATTTGTTAACTAAGCTTAATAAAAAGTCTGTTTCTCTAGAACTGCTCTCACCAGGAGCCTAGCCATGTGAGAACCACATCTTTGAACTATTTGGAGGAGTCAAAAGAAAACTCATTAAGGACATTTCTCTCCTTTTACCTGAGGCCATGTTTGTTTTAGGTAAGCATGCTTTGGGAGTTAAGATAAAGGAGGGGCTGAGAGGCCAAGACAAGCAGTCAGCCTGCCACAGAAACAGCAGGCTTTAGACGGTCAAAAACTATGGAGGGTGCAGCTGCAGATTTCTCGCTCCGGGCTACAGTGGATCACGTCTGTCATTGCTCCCGAGACACCCAGCAACACTCGCTCCATCCAGGAGAACAGCCACAGAGGTAAGACAGAGACAGGCAGAGAACTTTTTTCACCAACTTTCCATTCCAAGCTTCTCCAGAAATACTATGAGCTGAAAAGCATACGACTCCCTTAAAACAGGAATCCAGTCGAAGGAGAGGTATTGTATCTGTCTATAGGCACTGTTGAGCATCCCCTTTAAAATAATACCACCAGCTGTACCACAAGGTGAGCAATAAATGGATTCTGCCACTAAGAACAACAACATGGTCACTTTCAAGATGACTAAGAAGCCCAGACTGTAAGTATCATTTGAATGTAGTGTTTTTGGCATTGAACGAACAACAAAAAAGAATTTTCAACTTCAGAAATAATGGGTAAAATACTTTTCTGAAAACATTTTGCTTGGAACTTGTATTTTTTATTTGTTATTCCAATATTTTATACTCTCCACTCAAATATTTCAGGATTTACTTGTAAATGGAAGCAGATGAAAATTCAGGTTGCGATAACTGATTTTTTTAAAGTTTATTTACCTTTTACATATAAAAACACTTTTTCATTTCCCCTACTGTATGTAACAGCAGCAGAGAAGGAAAGTACTACTGAAAATGCCATTTAAAATTGTAGTAGCCATCACCAAAAAATGGGACACATAGCATCCATGACAGTATATGCTCTCTTAAGCTAATTAGATCTGATTGCCCATGTTAGTTTAATGCTGAAGCTGTCTAATCAATAAATAACCAGGCACACCATGACCATATGTAACCTTTAATTAGACATAGCATCAGAGAACTAGAGTTATTTTTTTATTTTGTAGCAGTACTGCATAAACAGAAAATATTTCAGTATTAATTACATCATCATTTGGAGTGCAATGCAGTCCCTTTGAGCTGTGACATCTTAATAGGAAATGATACCTTCGTTAAAAATGTGTAAGTGATTGTCTAACTTGTTCAATCAGATCATAGACAGAGGACAGATTAATATTGCCATTGAAATCACATTTACCAAATCAAAATATGTCCCTTCCAACTCAGATATTATATGAATCGATGATCAAAATGTGGTGGAGAAAAAGTTTTTTCAAAAGATGCCAGCAGAATCTAACAAAAGCATTTGTATTGAACGGATACTGTATGGATATTACGACAGAGAATTAACTGTGGGAGTGCTATTCTATCTTAATCTTTCAGCAGCCCTGTTTTATGGAGGCCCTGGATGCTCACAGCCAGAGATGGTGAAATGACAGAGAATCAACAAATGGTGAGATTAAATTCTGGAGAAAATAATCCTTATAGAAAACAGGTGCAGAAATTGAAGCTATTTGAACAGAGGAAGTGAGGCTTGGTCTTCTTTTCTTTTTTTTTTTTCTTAAAAAAAAAAAAAGTCAATTTAAAAGCATTTTCTTCAGTATTAAAAATGTTTTGAATTACAATGCTCTATACATGAGAATGTTTAAGAGTACCTCTAATTTATATTAGATATAATATCACTACGAACTCTGAAGGAGCTGCAGAGAGCACTGCTCACTAAGACAACAACAAATTTTAGCATCAGCTTTTACTTGCTTAATTACAAGAATTAAAATATCCCCTAGCCCATACATGATATTGTGTATATGGCAAAAAAAGAGTTGGGAGTGAAAATGACTTTAAGATGAAATTTGAAAAATATACCTTCAGGTGCACAGTTTTGTTGATTGATGTTTGAGAGGGATGTTGTATAGCTAAACTAGCTAAGAAATCAAAAGAAAAATCAATTTAAAAGCTCATACTGAAAAATGCCTTTGAAAGGCCCAGAGATTATTAGTTCTATTTACTCATTTTAGAAAGATTTGTTAGATCAGAGGATAAAAATAAAAAGACATTGAAGCACATTCAACATAAGGCCCAATGCTGCAAACTTGAAAAAAATGTATTGAAATGGTGCTCCAGTGCTTAGTTTTAAGTGCCTTTGTAAGTTTTTGCAGCATCAGATCCACAGTTACATCTCCAACTTTTTATCAAAAGCTCAGCAGGTTAAGACAACTCTCCTTAGTGCAAGTCTTTAAAGAATCATAGTTTGTACTATATTCTAACATGTGAAGTATCTTTTTATCATGTACTTTTTGCCTCTTGAAGATGGAGGCTGTAGCTATATGGATCTTTTAGAGTGCCATACTCCTGGCAAGCACGTTAGGGAAAGCCTGTAGAAGAATGTCCTTCCCAAAGGCACCTGCAACCTTGCTAAGAATGAGGGCTACCCTACTCTCAGAAGAAGGATTGTATACTTACAATTTCAAGGAATTAAGGTTTCTGAAACTGTGATTTATTACTGAAATTCCATTTTTGTAGAAATTGTATTCAAACAGCTTGAAAGTTTTAATCCACACTTGGGCTTCTTAACATTTGTGCAAGAAAAACAATCCACGCATGAATTTTTGCTAATGTTAGCAGCACTAGCGTAACATTCATGCTGACAGCTTGGCATTGTTTCACACTAAGTTCAGCTGAAACAGTTCATTTGAAAAAAACTATAAATTTAAAAAACATTTCTCCTTCTTGCCTGAAGCTGCTCAGATCCTTCTCATCCACTCCTTATGGTCCATTCATCTTCCTTTCGCACTGCAGATGCCTCTGTAACCTGGGACCTAATGAGATGAGGGCTCAGGGAAGGCTTTAGGAGACCTTTCATATGTACTTTTGACAAATGAGGAAAGATGCTTGGATGTTTTGTGTGGTGTATAGGTGGAAAGAGGTGCTGGCTGATGCATAGGGATATCCCACAGCTGTGGGAAAAAAGAAGCATCTTCTTCAGCAAGGTTATTGAGGTGTCTAGGAGAAGGCCTTCAAAAATGGGTTGAGCACAATGTTTTGCTAGTTAGTTGCATGCCATATACTTCTATTTTCTACAACATATACATACAAATGCCAGTGTTTTATGGATCAGTTGACATTCCAAGCACTGAACAGAAGCAAATAAGTGTCAATATACTCCATTTGTGTAACTAAATAGAAGATTTAAGAATATACTTATAAAACTCTAACCTGAGAAATTAAACAATGCCAAGCAAAGGACTAAAAAACAGAAGCACTGGTAAAATAAATAATTAAATAAATAATTGTACTTCTATTGCCAAGATCATGTGTTACAATACACCCTGTTTACTTATGCCTGATATTTTCCTTAAATAAAAATTAATCTTTTTTATACAACTTAAATGCAAATATTATTTATGCCAGAAGAAGAGCCATGAAAATCGATTTAAAGTTATGCCATATCTACAACATAATACAAATTAGCACTGAACATGTTCTGCTATATGCAAACAGCTGAATTAGATTTGCAGTTAATTGGGTTTATCAAATTGCTTTCCAAAAATGCTGTATTACAGTCTGAAAAGAAAAATGTACATATATATGTGTTTAATCAACACATGTTATTGCATATATAATTTTAAATATATATATTAAATATATATGCTACATATTATATATATATTAAATATATATGCTATCTTCTGAACAGAAGATAGCAAGAAAAAAACTGGTCAATTAAGGTAAAAAGACTATTTTAATTTTAATCTAAATATGAGAAAATAAAAACAGTGTATGTTTTTATTATTTAACATAAATATTATGATCACACTGACAATGTTCAGCCAGATCAGGAACCCGTTTTACTAGGTACTGTGAAAACAAAGAAGTCTCCCAATTAAAAACCTAACAGCCTGAAGACAAAACGTTCTGGCTACAAGACGAACAGGCAGGCATGGGAGATAAGACCAACATAAAAAATACAGAGATAATTCTTTAAGATCCCTTGCTCAATCTGTAGCCCAAGGGCTTTTGGGGGCCCACCAAAATATTCATGCTTAGGCCTACTTCCTCAGAAAGATAGATGAATTGCTCTGACAGTGGCATAAGTCATCTTTGTTTATAGTAGACAGCTTCTAGATTTTGTTCACTAGAAATTATATTGCAGCGAAGTTAAATCTATTATTTTATGCAAAGTGAAGTTTATAGTAATAGAAGGAGAAAATCTTATTTGAAGATGCGGAAGAGAACATACATGTATGCCTACAAGACCAAGTAATAGGGCTCAATGACTTTGGAAGTTGCTTTCAGGTTTACAGTCGTAATGGGATTTGGTAATGTAAACTTCTTCTGCCAATTCTTTTTTTTTTTTTTTTTTACTGTGACCTTAATTTTGAAGCGTTTATTTGCTAACTTTCCTTTTGATATTTAAAATGGATTTTTGCTACACAGTTTGATGTATCAAAAAATGCTTGCTTTTTATATCACTGTTTGAATAGAAATACCAGATGCCAGCTGTCTCTTGATTTTACTGTTTGGACACCTAATGCACTTGTGATCCTTGATTAAAATTAAGCTTGCTGATTTGAACATTCCAACTCCAACCTACTGGTTAGTTAAAGAGGTATTTTATAAACCCCTAAACCCCCAATCATTGATAACCCTTTTCTCTTCCAATCACTGATTTGATGATATTTGATGTTATTAGCTCACCAGTCTCTACAGATATTCCACAAGATCTTAAGCAGAATGTCCACTACTTTACAGCTTTATGGCTCATAAAAACACAAGTTCAAATGTTTTGTCAAATGCACAACTATGGGCAGCCTGTGGGCAGAAATAATCTCCAAAGTCTGTTTAGTCAGCAGAAAAAATGCAGAGCACCAAACAAAGCAACACTACCGTAGAATTTTAGTTACCTGTAGAAGAGTGAATTTGTCATTTTTAGCTTATTCTATATAATGTCTCTTTACAGTCAGAACTGGATGGTCAGCTAATGAATTTTAGATCAAAAGGAGCCCTGGGTTTTCAACATCCAGTGAGGTGAGTTAAATCCTATCACTTCATATAGGGAAAGTAACAGTCTCCAAGAAAAATCATGTTTCTTCTACGGAGAACTATCAGTTTGTCTCTGCAGTGTTTCTTTTTAGTCATGCAGTTTAACTACTCACCAAAGTCTGTAGATTTTTATCTGCCCACCAGGAAAGTTGCCCAGGCTGAACAAAACCCGAAACAATACTCTAATAATATAAAAAAAAAAGAAAAGAAAAGAAAAAAAAAGCCATCTTAAAAGAAGTAACATGATCCTGTCTGATCTAATTTATATTTGCATTGGAATATCCCTCTTCTTTATGAGCATCATTTTTAAGAAGTTGTAGAAATTTAAATTGTATGACCTTTATCCCTTTGTCAAGTTAGTTGAAAACTGCCCAAAGTGGAACCAAGAGGAAAAGATGTGCATACATATGCACACAAAACCACATGCATATGTATATAGACCACATAAATTTTGCTTTAGTGGGAAAACAGGTGAAAACCTGAAATGTAAATTAATACGACATATGCAAGGTGTCAATACAAAATAGTATGAATTTTGAAAAAAATCTCAGCGTCTACCTCCTCCTCCACCTGGAGACACTAAAATCACTAAGATCAGCCTGTGTGCAAGAGTCAACCCACCCCAATTTTAATCTGGTGTTTTAATCTTAATGCCAGAATCCCAGAACATCCCTCTTCACTTTCTGCAGTCACACCAGATGCTTCCATTCTGTACTGAGCTGAAAAACAGAACAAAAAGTCTCAAACACACATCACTGCCCTGGCAACACGTTATCAGGGAGGGACCTTAGGTAAATACAATACAAGATATGCCCAAATCAACTGAGATAATTTAAAGTTAACAATACCTTTTAAGTTAGTAATTTATATTTTAAAATACAGAGAATCTCAAGATTTTTCTCCCTTCAAATAAAGATAAAAATAGATTTTAGTAGTCAGGTTAGCTGGGAAAGTGTCTCATGGTTTTACTTTTTCTCTTCAAATGTTTTCTTATCAGACTATATTTGCCTAAGTCCAAATCCCAAAAATTTCTTAATAACATCGGAGAAAAGGTTCTGGCTAGTTTTCCAGTACAAGCTACAATTCACTTCTACAATGATGACACTGACTCTGAGGAAGATGAAGAAGAAACCAGTTCAGCCTAATAATAAACAGTTGTCAGCCTTTATAAAAATGTAACCAAAAAATAAATAAAACAAGAAATCAAGAAAGGAACTCTCACAAACGCATGGACAAACATCTGAATGAACAAAGAAACACATCAAAGCTTATGAAGACTATTTATACCTATATACCCAAGAAGAATGAGTCAATGCAACTGGAAATTAAGAGGAAATCCTTTCGTGTTTTGAGAGACTTAAATAAAACCCTGAAACTTAAAAAAAAAAAAAAAAAAAAAAAAAAAAGTTGTAATGTTTTAAGTTGAGTTGATTTAAGCAATACTTGGATTAAGAATGTGAAGAGCACTGTCTTTGGTTATTCATTATTCTTTTACATTGCAGTCTGGATAAAATGAAAATAGGACTGATCATGAGGGAAAATAATATAACATACAGCCCCATAATAACCTGAAGGCTTTGAAACACAATGTTTGTAAGAATTTAAGAAATGAATGATTTCAAATACAAGACTATTGTTTATTAGCTCTGTGGGAGGATATTTGTTTCTTAACACTGTATGCCAGTTTAACCTAAGCAATTTTAACAGAGATTCCAATATAACTTCCTGCCAAGACAAATTTTAAATGACAGCCTTGTGATATCTTCTCTTATACTTAATTTTCCCCTCTCTTATACTTAATTTTCCCCCCTCTAATCAGAAAAGTGCCTTGTTGTCAGCCAGGAGGAAAAAAAAAAAAAAAAGTTAGTTGGTTAAAAACTAGGATTTAGGTTAATGGCATATTAAAATGTATTACATACTAACTTTTTGTCTTATTTGCTACAAATTCCCCCACCCCCTCGGGGGGCTTACTGAGGTCTGTAAAAAAGCATCCTGGACAAGAACCAGCAGCTTCATTAAAAATATTTCCAGGAAGAAAAATGCTGGAGGTTCAGAAATCCCAGACAAGCAGCCACCGTATAAATGCAGATCAACTACTCAAAATGCATGCTGTAAGCCCGCTGTGTTCTAGATGCTGATGTTCACACTTGAAATAAATGCAATGAAGTGAGAGGGGGAGAAAGGATAATGAAAATATAGCTGTGCAAACAACAAAATATCACAACTTTTTAGCCTGGGAGACATGATTGAATATGTAAATGTGGTCTTGAACATTTGAGAGGCTTGAAGATAGTGGGAAATGATTGAACATCAAATGAGAATAGTGAGCAGTGGGTTTAAAACAAAGTGAATACTTCACTCAGCTTGTGACTATGCTGTGATGTCATGGAAACTAATAGTCTACCTACTTATAAAAAGTAAATTAAACAATTTCATAAGAAAAATATAAAGATGCTGCACAAAAGCTTCCTGATTCACATTGTTACAGGCTGTAAAATTATCCTGGGGAAACATTACTAGCTTCTTGCACTAATCTTTACTCTTCCATGAGTGTGTACTACTACTAGTCAGTGTTGGAGAGAGAATGTGAGCTAAATTTACCTTTGGTCTTGCATGAAACATGTTCTTAAATGCGCTACATCAGATGTAGTTTTAATTACATGAGCAAGAGCTGTTGCAAATCCATACCTTTGAAACACAAAAAAATAGCTTCAGAGAAGTATGATCATTAGGCATGTAGAACAAACTTATTATTAGAAAAATGAAACTGCATAGTGGATACCAGTCTTACCAAAGGCTCTTAGGAATATCAAAATAAATCACCTTAAATATCTGCTGAGGTCTGACAAAATGTTATCAGCATAAATTGATTCAGTTTCTCAGTCAATACTACACTATGTCTCTTTTCCTTTCCCTTTACTGTTAAATTCCATTTTCAAATTAAGGTATTATTACTGTATTATTTTCCTGATTGATAATACATGTATTTAGCTATGGTTATTAGAGGAAGTTAAAGCTACATTATTCTTTCCCAAACACAACGGCATTTTGTGTGTGTATCACATAAACAAATGTATCTTCATGTTACAATGTCAACATAACCTTATTTGCACCCTTAAATAAATTGTGCATTGTGATTCCTTACCAGTTTGCTAACAATTAACTAAAGACTAGAAGTGAACTAATTATATCATCTCTGTTTCTCAACTGCAGTTAATTTTCACTTTTCAGTTCTGGTTTGTTACTTCATCTGCAGTTTGACCTTGTGAAGTTTTCAGTGACCTTAGAATCATCCATCATTTCCAGGAAAAAGATAACAAAGCATCCCCAAATAATGAGTTTATCATGAGTTTACTACTTCAAAGACAAGGCTAGAAATGTACCATTTTACGGATTAGATTGTTGGCTCAGGACCTCATCTTGCAGAACTTCTGTTACCAGTTCAACAACTGTAACATTTTCAGCAAATGCTACCTTTCCATTTCCATTGTTTGTCTAAAATTATGAGTGACAGGTAAGTTCACGTCCCACTGGTACTTGAATGCTGGAGAGGTACCTAGACAATGCCTATTTGCCTAAATGTTGTTACACACCTTTTAGCCCATTCTCCCATCACAACATCTATTTTAAAGATCATCAAATCAAGTTGACAGCATCCCAAAACTATACTCCGATTTTTAAGACAGCCTGTACAATTCAGATTGCTTTAGGTAACAACAAAACTATACCTACATATCACAAGGAGAAAGCCAACTCCGTTTTACTACTGCCAAAAGAAGTTTCTTCACGCAGCATTGCTTCCTACATCATTTTCACGCTCACAAAGTGAAGTAAAATTGAGTTGCCATGTTTCTTATTGTTTCTTTTTCTTCCTGCAATCATCCTATGTGTAGGAACAGTAAACACTAACACACACAGAACTGTGCTAGGTTTTATAACATTTGCATATTTTACTCCATATGCTTGTATGTTTGATCTTCATAACCAGGCATTTACCTCTTTTATTACACCTCCCTGTTGATCACAAAGTGAAAAAATACTTCTATTAATGACATACTTACAACAAAAATAAAATTATGTGAATACACGGAGAATTTAGCTTTTCTGCTGCTTCATATGCATAAGTTAAATATTTGTGCTAAAGCTTCCAAGCTTACAGCATTCAACACAGCGCAATGCAATAAAAGACTTTATCCAAGTCTTTTCTGAAGTCTCAAAAGACTTTATCCAAGATAAAGTAATGGAAATGATTAAAAAGGGAAGCTATTCCCAAAGTTTCTAATTCAGTATTTCTCAACTTCAACATCATAAACATCACCTGTATTGTTACTACCCTTCTGTTTATAGCTAAGATGGAAAGGAGGGAATCTTTATCATCATTATACAAATTCGGCAACCATAGTTCTGTAATTTTATTTGGCATTCATCCTTTTTGTTTGAAACAGCTCTCATTTGTTATTTCTTATTACATGTTTACACACGCATTCATTCCAATACCATTTGGGGGGAGCTTGTCTTATCACATGAAGCTTATAGTGAGATGTGTAAAAACTCATCAGCCTCCAACACATTAAAAATTGAAGGGAAAAAAAAACAGAAGCTGAATCAAATTCCACTAATTTCTACTAGTTGTGCTATGAAAAGATGCCATCGGTAAGTAAGAAGGGTGAAAACGGGGGCAAATTTTGGTTTTGCTTTTATTTACTTAGTTTTTGCCTCAGTCTGATAATAATGGACACCTGATATCCAAAGCCTTTAAACAGGTATGTTTTGTAAAGAAAGGCACTACTAGCACACATTTCAATCACTTCAGGTTTTCTTAGAATGGCAAAATGTAAGGCAAAATCTATAAAAACTCCTCTAAATAACTATAGCTAACATTCGCTGTGTGTTTATGAAAGGCAGAACCTCTCTTCTCTTTGCAGCAGAGCTGTATATCTTTTGCTTAATTGCAGCCATAGGCAAGACCATGAGCTAATGAATCCCAAACAAAATACACGTATCCCCTAGCAAAACACATTTGATAGCCCATATACACCATGTTATCTAGTTTTATTTTGATCACAAAGGCAACTTCTGAAGTGTCAATTATTATTCCTGAGTTGAAGAAAAGGTCACTACAGTGCCTTTGAAGCACCGCTACACAGTAGTGACAGAAAAGCAAAGATTGAGTTTCATGCCTGCAAGTTTTACTTAAACAAATGGCCCCAGTTTGCCTATTCACTTAGGTGCCTCTGTTGGTTTTCCCATAATTGTGAGGTCAGCAGTTAAATGAAAAGGCAGATTCATCACTGATACAATCTTTGTCCAACGTTTACCATCCTTTAATTTGTGTGCTTTCAGGGCCTGAGGGCATTTTCCAGTAGCTTTTCTTTATCCTGAAGGGATTTGGGATTCCTTAACAGGGGACTAAATTAATCCTTACATTAAATGATAACAGAAACATGGCCTTCACTAGTTGTCAATTTAGAATGAAAAACAAAATTGCTTTCTCATAAAGCAAAAGGAACAGAGAACGTGAACAGAAACTCCATGGGAGAACAAAAAGAAAAAAAGATTACAGTCAATACTTCAGTGCCTACAACATAACTAGAGAATTAACAAAAGACTAAATACATCTTCAAGTCTGTTGATCATAAAACCTTGTATTCACCCTACAGATAAGTGTTTGGGCATGTAAGTTAAGATAAACTGAAGGGCAAAAATGGGGTAGGGGGAAATAACAGCAACTGAGAGCACTCTGGAAAACAAAACACCACAAAGAAATCTACAACTTTCAAGGAACAAGCATTTTACTAATTTACAGTCATGAAGATTAGATATAAATACTCATTCCTGTAAAACACACACAAACAACAAAACACTTAAAATGTAGCATACATGAAAGAACATTTACTTTTTAAGAAATACTTGAACTACTGCTGTAAGTTACTGTGTTTTTTGTTACAATCCAGACTATAACAAGGTGGACCTGAGGGTTCCTTCAAACTAGTCTTCATTTTTTTATAAAAAGCTCAATAAATGTAATTTCAAAAGTTGTTTCAGATTTTTTTTTTAACATAGATCCTTTATTTCTGGTGATCTTGGTATTTTAATTAAGGAAGGGCTGCCACCCAAAGGGACCTGGACAAGATTGATAAGTGGGCCCATGTGAACCTAACAAGATTCAACAAGTCCAAGTGCAAGGTGCTACACCTGGGCCAGAGCAACCCCAGACTGAAGCACAGACTGGGAGAAGAACTCATTGAGAGCAGCCCTGCAGAGAAGGACTTGGGGGTTCTGGTGGATGAAAGGCTTGCCATGAGCCAGCAGCGTGTGCTTGCAGCCCAGAAGGCTGCGTCCTGGGCTGCATCAACAGAGGAGTGGACAGCAGGGCAAGGGAGGGGATTGTGCCCCTCTGCTCTGCCTTGTGAGGCCTCACTTGGCGTGCTGCATCCGTTTGGGGCCCCCAGCACAAGAAGGATGTTGATCTGTTTGAGTGGGGCCAGAGGAGGGCCACGAAGTTGGTCAGAGGGTTGGAGCATCTCTCCCACAAAGAAAGGCTGAGAGAGCTGGGGATGTTCAGCCTGGAGAAGAGAAGGCTCTGAGGTGAACTCATTGCAGTCCCTCAATACTTAAAGGAGACTTACGAAAAAGATGGAGAGCAACTTTTTGCTCAGTTCGACAATGACAGGACAAGGGGGAATAGCTTTAAACCATTCAGCCATTTAAACCAAAGAGGAGAGATTTAGATTAGAGGTTAGGATTAAATTCTTCACTCAGGCTGGTGAGGCCCTGGCACAGGCTGCCCAGAGAAGCTGTGGGTGCCCCATCCCTGGAGGTGTTCGAGGCCAGGCTGGATGAGGCCCTGGGCAACCTAGTCTAGGTTGCGGTGTTCCTGCCTATGGCAGGGGGGTTGGAACTGGATGATCTTCAAGGTGCCTTCCAACCTAATCCATTCTGTGGTTCTATGGTTAATAAGTCCACCAATTTGGGAAAAAAATAAAATAGTTTCTTGAGTGAAGAACTGTGTAAAGAAAAGTCAACCACTATATATCTTGACCCAGAACAAATATTATAAAATCACAGGAAAGTTGCTAACTTTAAGGAAGTAAAAATTAACTATATTTTACTAATATCTACATATGAAAACCATACATTTACAATGTAAACACTTCAGTTTAACTTATATAAAAAAGCTTCAAGCATTTGATAAATTAAACACATGTGCTCTCCCCAAACACAGTGAGAAACAAAATTAAGCTAGGTCCAAATATTATCTTTTACTCAGAAGGAAATCACAAGTAGCAACCTACAAGTAATAGAATGCTATTTTAAAATCAAAAGAACAGTTAGGTAAATTAATGTGGCATAATTTTCATATCAGTGCAAGTTATTATGCTGCATGCATAATAATAAAACCAAACCATCTCAATGAAATGTGTTTACATAATTTAGTTAGAAATTCAGAACAAAAAGCTCTGTTATAAAATCAGAAAGAAGTTTCTTTTACCATGGGAAGGTTTTGATTTTACTTACGCAATGCTTCAACTAATCAGCTAATTCAAACAAGTCTTAATAATAACTATCTGCTATTGCAGATTCCTTTTTCAGGAAGAAAAAACATTCTGTTTACTTCACTGATGGGAATATCTCTCAGTGCTGGAATTGCTTCTTCTTGAAATTTCTTCTGTTGCTGCTTTTTTGCATAGTTATCTACAGGAAACAATTAAGACATTCCATATATTAAAGACATTTTCTTTGAAGAAATATTACATAAGGCAACACTGTATAAAATTAGCTACTGAGTGCTGAGGTGTAACAAGATGGTAAATCAGAAACACTTTACATCAACATATATTAGCATATATATATATATATATATATATATATAAAAGCCCTGAAGAAATCAATCCTGCCCTTCTGCTGGAATCTTTGTCTAGAACTTTGCTTGGTTTAAAATGCTGTATGACATTAAACCAAAACTACCTGAAGATAAACAGAATGAACAAGCCCTACAGTGAATAGCTCAGTCTGTACTGTGGACATTTAATATTAGGATTCCTGCTGGGAAATGCTGTTCACTCTCCCTTTAACTTGGCTTCTTGTTCTTATCACCATGCAGCACCCATTCTTACAATAGCATAAACTTGTTTGTAGGTGCATTTCGAACAGTTCCCTCTAAAAAAAAAAAAAGAGAGAGAGAGACAAGAGTAGCTGTTTTTCAAACTGTGTAGGTCCCCTATCTCACCTGCCATACAACTACGCAGGCTCTTGGATTGGCACAAAGTGAAAGGGTGGCATGAGAAGAACATGCCTGGTCAAGCTTTATAGGCCCAAATCCTGTTCCTCTAATGTTGTCTGTTTTACTAAAAGAATATGCTTCACTAGTTGGAGACCACTGCATCAAATAGCAAAGAGTTTTTCCCTCTTAGCACAGGAGCAGGCCACATGCTGAAAGATCAGCTGGCATGGAAGAAGACCGGCCTGGCTGAACAGAGAGTTGTGGCTAGAGCTCAGGATGAAAAAGAGGGTTTATGGGCTTTGGAACAAGGGGCAGGCAACTCAGAAGGGCTACAAAGATGTCATGAGGCTGTGCAGGGAGAAAATTAGAAGGGTCAAAAGGCAAACTTGAACTCAATCTGACTACTGCTGTTAAAGACAATACAAAATATTTTTATAAATATAAACAAGGAGGATTAAGGAGAATCTTCATCGTGCATCTTCAGCATTGGAGGTGGGGGGAAACACAGTGACAAGAGATGAGGAAAAGACTGAAATACTTAATGCCTTCTTTGCCTCAGTCTTTAGTAGCAAGTTCTCTGGGTACCCAGCCCTCTGAGCTGGTAAATAGGGACAGGGAGCAGAGTGAAGCCCTCATAATCCACGAGGAAATGGTTAGCCATCTGCTAAACCACTTAGACATACACAAGTCTGTGGGGCTGGATGGGATCCACCCAAGGGTACTGAGAGAACTGGCAGAAGAACTGGCCAAGTTGCTTTCCACCATTTATCAGCAGTCCTGGCTACCAGGGAAGGTCCCAGTTGACTAGTGGCCAGCAAAAGTGATGCCCATTGACAAGAAGGGCTGGAAGAAGGATTCAGGAAACTATAGGCCTGTCAGTCTGACTTGGTGCCAGGGAATTTCATGGAGCAGATTATCTTGAGTGCCATCATGCAGCATTTACAGGACAACCAGGTGATCAGGTCCAGTCAGCATGGGTTTATCAAAGACAGGTCCTGCTTGATGAACCTGATCTCCTTTTATGACAAGGTGATGTGCTCAGTGGATGAGGTCTACCTAGATTTCAGTAAAGCTTTTGACACCATTTCCCACAGCATTCTCCTAAAGAAGGCGGATGCTCAAGGCTTGGATGTGTGTACACTTCGTTGGGTTAGAAACAGAATGTCTGGCCAGGCCCAAAGATTTGTGGTGAATGGAGTTAAATCCAGCCGGAGGCCAGTCACAAGGGGTATCCCCCAGGACTCAGTATTGAGGAAACTTCTCTTCAGTACCTTTAGCAGTGATCTGGACGAGGGGATGGAGTGCACCCTTGGTAAGTTTGCAGATGATACCAAGTTAGGCATGAGTGTTGATCTGCTCAAGGGTAGGAGGGTTCTGAAGAGGGATCTGGATAGGCTGGATCAATGGGCTGAGGCCAACAGTATGAAGTTCAACAAGGCCAAATGCTGTACCCTGCACTTGAGGTGCAACAACCCAATGCAATGCTACAGGCTGGGGGAAAGCTACTCAGTGGAAAGGGACCTGGGGGTGTTGGTCGATAGCCAGCTGAACATGAGCCAGAAGTGTGCTCAGGTGGCCAAGAAGGCCAACAGCATCCTGGCCTGTGTCAGGAACAGTGTGGCCAGCAGGACCAGGGAAGTGATTGTCCTTCTGTATTTGGCTCTGGTGAGGCCGCACCCCGAATACTGTGTTCAGTTCTGGGCCCCTCACTACAAGAAAGACATGGAGGTGCTCGAGCATATCCAAAGGGTGACAAAGCTGGTAAAGGGCCTTGAGAGCAAGTCTTATGAGGAGTGCCTAAAGGAGCTGGGGTTTTTTAGCCTTGAGAAAAGGAGGCTCAGGGGAGACTTCATCGTGCTGTACAATTACCTTAAGGGATGCTACACCAAGATGGGCATCTGACTCTTCTCCCAAGCACCAAGTGATAAGATGAGGGGAAATGCCCTCAAGTTGCACCAGGGGAGGTTTAGGTTGGATGTTAGGAGAAATTTATTTACTGAAAGGGTTGTGTGGCATTGGAATAGGCTGCCCAGGCTGAGTCACCAGCCCTGGAGGTCTTCAAAAAACGTGTAGATGTAGAACTTAGTAGCATGGTTTAGTGGCGGAGTTCAGTACTAGGTTAAAGGTTGGACTAGATGATCTTAGAGGTCTTTTCCAGCCTGAATGATTCTATGATTCTACACACACACATATATATATAGAGAGAGAAATTATCAGCTAAGTATCAAAATCTTGAAAACAAACCAAAACCAACCACCCAAAAAACCCCACACCAATAATATTACCTGTAACGGTATTCGTGGAATTCAGTGGAGCGGTACTCATCATGTTAATACCAAAAAGTAATATATAACCAATTCCTACAGAAACTAGTAGGTATGCTGGTAAAGCAACTGCCCAGTACCTGAGGAAATCAGATTTCAAAATTTACGTTTTATAATAACAAACATCTAACAATGTAACAGTTTTAATGCAGTGATTGTTATTGCATCTAGCACAAACTTGGAAACATGAAAAGAAACACTACTGATGAGTAGGAACCCTGGTTTCTCCAACGAGAACTGACTGCAGAAATCACTGTAACTAGTGAGGGTATAAACTGTCAAGTAGACTCATTTAATAGATTTTTTTTTTAAAGTCTACTGTATTTTCATTGGCAAACTCCCTGAAAACAAAATTTCAAATTTACCATAAAACATTGAAATACTATCTGTTTCATTACAATTTTCAACATAACTACTTATCCACATGAAATAATGCTTCATAAAGATTACAGTCTTTTAAAATCAGGAAAAAATGGATTAAATTTAAGACCACTATTTAAAAAATGGTTTCACTGTTTCCTGTCTGAAAATAATTACACACATCCAAAAGTAAGAGTCTGAGGTTGAACTTAAGAGCTTAAAGTTGAACTTACTTTTGAGGCCAGTATGTTAGTCCCAGTGAGAAGAGCCAAGTCTCAGGAACATATGCCCAAATAAGATACAGTACTGCACAAAAGAATTAAAAAGGGGTAACAGTCCAAGTGATACCATTTTAGACCTCCTTCTTAAGATTTAGATCAATACTTTCACACTGGGACATACCAAGACAGTATTTTGCTTTTACACAATTAAAGTCAAAATAGCTATACCAAGACATTGTAGAATATGCCTCTCACACAAAACCTGCCCAATATGGGGGAACTGTTTTGCAGCTGCTTATATGATATAGCTTTTATATTTGAATTAACATCTAGTTAATCTAGCCAACATCCTTTCCCTTCTGCTTACCTCCTTAAGATGAGAAAAACTTGTAGCAGGATCCTGTTTTACTATTCAATTACAGTACATTCACAGAAGCATTTCTTGCATTGAAAGGGTTTCACCCACTCAAGCTTTAGCTCTGTATGAGCATGTAAGATACGCCCAGTGAATGCTAAAGCACCTGTCACATCAGCAGTGAAATGACTGGCCTAGTTTTGTTTTTGTTTGTTTGTTTATTTTGTTTTTCAGCATTTGAGCGGGGAAGGTTTCACTACCGTGATTAGTGAGAACACGAGTAGCTCAAGTAAAAAAGCTCCTAAAAGTATAACACAGAGGGTTTTTGACATAAGCATTTGACTCCGTGACACCTTCCAAGCCCTGCAGCACTACGAGGGACAGACACAACTTGGCATTGCCGCGGCAGGCGGTGTAACAGCCCCCGGAGGGAGGCAGCAGCTCAGCACCACTCCAGCACCCCGGGGCTCCCCTGCCGGACACCTTTCGCCCCGCAAGCACAGCGCGTACTCACTAAAGCCGAACCAGGATCCCAGAAACAGAGCAAAGCCGTATATCGCCCGCTCCGGCAGGGGGGCCGGGGAGTTCTCCACCATGCCGGGCTCTGCGCTTGGGGGGCGGTACGGGAGGGAGCAGCAGCAGGAGGAGGAGGAGGAGGAGGAAGAGGAGGAGGAAGGACGTGGAGCCCCCCCCGGACATGCGCCCTCAGAGCAACCCGAGCAAGCTGCAGGCGAACGCATGCGCTCGGGTGGGGACCGGGCGGAGCCGGGGAGGGTCCCGGAGCAGAGCCGCGGCTCCCGAGGGGCCGGTGAGCGGCGGGCGCTGGGGGGGTGGCGGCGGTGGGCGCTCCCCTTCTCCTCCTTCCCCGCACCCTGCTGGGCTCCTGAGCGCCTTTCCTTCCCCGGGCCGCCCTGAGGAGGGTGACCGGCGCTGCGGGGCCGTGCCCGGGCTGTGACACGTCGGTTCCGGGCTCCGCGGGGAGGGACGGGGATGGGAGCCCCGCCGGCCGCACGGTCAACCCATAAGCGGCACGGGCAGCTCTCCGGCCGCACGGTCAACCCGTGCTTGGGACCCCGGGCTGGGCGCGGCTGAGGCAGCTCAAGGGGGGCTGCTGGGGTGAGGCCCTTTAACCGGTTTTCAGCTTAAACGCCGTGAAATGCACGTCGTGTAGAAGTCACGCGTGTCTTCCAGGAAAATTGGGAGGTGTAAGGTGACGCGGTTGTTGTAGATCCCGTAAAACGCGGGCGGTTTGCCTCCTGGCTCCCCCCAGTCTGTGTTTCTCTGACTCCTTTTCTTCCAGGGTCATGCGCCATGGGTGAACCGATATCTGAATCCGAGTTTGCAGCCTTGGCTTTTTATGCTGGTGACAAATCGTGCTGTGAATTGGTGAGTAGGCTTGGGGCTGGATGGAGAACGTGCGAGATGCTCCAGCGGGATTTAATCCCAGGCTTGATCTGTAATTTGATGAGTTCAGACTGGTATCTTACACCACCATATGCTACGCCCTTGCAAAAGCCCTAAATCTGGTGAGGGCACAGATAGTGTATATCTCTGTCAGGCAACTTTTATTGGGTGTGCATACAATCATGTAAAACCAGACAGTGGTGCGTAGGTCGCATCGACAGAACTTTACCAATCTCTTGGCTGCGTATCCAGTCCCCGTATGGGATGACATACCTTACAGTGACACCTCCTTTAACCACAGAGCAATTATTCCTAACAGTATGTGTAAGTTCAAGACAGCAAATTAACTGTACAACATTCACCCATTCTTTGTATTTCTCATCTTTTATGTGTGTGTTTTTTTTTTGTTTTTTTTTTTTCCCCCTGGTCATTTGTGCCCCATAGGGCCTCTGCTTATTTAGTTGTTGCTTTTATTGCGTAAACTGCAGCATTCTTCTGCTTATTTCCAAGAACGCATTCCTTGACTCTTATTTTCCACTTCTTGCTATGTTCAAAGAATCTTAGAGGATGAACACTGTGGCAGTTCATCTTTCTGCTCCTTGGGGAATTCGGTTATGGGTTATTTATCCTAAATGTTGCTGCTGCCAAATACAAGCTAGCTGGCACATGATACTTATTCTATGCAGAAATAAAAAGTACAGGTCAAGTAACTTTCTTATAAGTAAATCTGTATCTGTACTAGGGACTGCTACCAGTAGAGTAGTGAGTTTCACTGGAAATTGTTTATATCAATAAAGACTTTTTTTTGTGCTATGGACAGAGTAAAATATTTAAACAGTTGTGTTAGCATAGGATACTAGACGTGTTATCTTTTAAAGTGATATGAGTGTTGTGCTGTGGAAAGAAAACCCCTGATTCTGTCTGTGCAAGTGCTAAAAATCATGTTTTTGAAATCTGCTTTAGTGGAAATACCACCTTGAGCTTGATATGTCAATCATGGATGTTGGGGATGGGGGTGAGGGCTGTGGTATTGTTATTTTTTTAATATTATAGCAAAATCCATGCTGTGGAGTGAATGAGACTTTCTTAGTCATCTTTCAAGTTGAACTGATTTTGAAATACTAGTTAATGTTTTTCCTCTCTGTTAGTGCTGTGGTCTGTTGAATTTGTTCACATTATAATAACTTATTTTTAAGGGTAAGCCTTGGTTTACGTGTATCGATGTTCAGGAGTACTGCTTTGGGCAAGATGATTTTTTCATATGATTTTTTTTATCATCACCTTAGGTCAAGTTATTAAGTTATTATTGCACAGCATGCGAGTATTTCCCTGAAATCTGCCACTGAAAGAATAAAGGACTATGAAAGACACGTTTGGTATTTAGTTTGTTTCTATACATTTCTTCAGTCACATTCAGGGATAGCTGTGTGTTTCTTTGAAATGATAACACAGCTGTACATAAACACAATGCATATAGTGTGCATCAAATGACACATACAATGCATGTTAAGATAATAGACTTTGTAGAGATCTGTAAAACAGAACAAAGTAATTTACTCTTCAAAGTAATTTACTCTTCAGCTTGAGAGGCTTATATGTAGCACTATGTTTTAAACCCATTAAAGTATTGTATTTGGAGTATGTTACCTTGAAGCGTTTCCCTAGGTATTCTTGAATATTATTTTGCTGTCTATTAGTTGATTGTGAATGACTAGGTTTTTAGAAGAATGCTGTCCTAGGGTGATTTAATACATTGCTTAAACCATTAAAAAACTTTGCTTTCATTCAGATCTATTAATCTGTGAATATGCTTTTTAGATCATGGATATGTAGATATATATATATTTTATAGGAATGCAACTAAACTATTGTGTTAGGTAACTCTAGTAAAAAATAGTTTTTTGCTGTTTGCTTTTTGGCTATGCTATACGTGGATTATAAAGATGTGATACAAAGGGGTTTGTCATTTGATAGTGCAAAATATTGCAGACCTTAAGTTTCCTTGTTTTTCCCCCAGAAAACAGTTGGCAGACTTCCAGAAATGAGGGAGAATGGTGAACACTAGTGGTATTTTATTCTTGATGCAATAAGATTGGGAGGGAGGGGGTGAGATGGGAGCAGGGAGAATTCAGCTATCTCAGATTGGACATAGGGGATAGTGAGATGATGATGATGAGCATTATTAAAATTTTATAAAAGACTCCCACTCAGAATAACTAGGGACATGGAAATCATTCTCCTGACTAGGTCCATATTGTCTGCATTAGTATTTTAGTTAACTACCAAAAGTTAACTACAAAACAATTACAGTTAATAATAGGTAACTAATTTTTAGTTCATTAGTAATGAACTTAGTTGATGTGTCTGCATTAGTATTTTAGTGTGGATCAGAACACTTTTGAAGTAAATATCCCAGGTGTCTCCATCTTCCATGTTACATCTTTATTGGAATCTGCTAGTGTGGGATTCACTGGGGGTGAAGCTGCTTTTAGGAGTATAGGTAATGTATCAACCATGAATGGATGCTCTGTGGGACTAGACTTGAACCAGAGCAAATTAAATCCCCTTGAAGCACATATCATGTGAAAATAGACTTCTTGTTACCGAATACTTCGCTTCATAGATCTGTTTCCTTTTTTGATCAGTCTGCTTGTTTACGAGGACTATCTTTTTTTTTACTGGTCCCCTGTGTCTGTGATCTGAAAGCGAAAGTATATGCAAACTTTTTTTTTCCTTGAGCAAAGGAATTAGTGACAGCTTAAAAATCACTTCTAATCCTCCCTTCCTCTGATGTAAAGATTTTATATTGGTTTAATTTTTAGAAACTTTTAAGTAATCATTTATAGTTGGTGTAACATATTTGCAAGATAAACAATGTTAAGAAATGATATGTTTATCTGTAGGGTCATGGAGTATTTGTACAACGTTCTCCACATAAACCTAAAACAGGTATGTAAACTAAACCAATATTACATAACTTTCTAAAGCGCTGTCTGTGTTGTGCTTGGATCATTCAATTATTAATTCATTTTTTTTCCACTGGAAGAATTATTGTGTGTTTTTTTTTGTGTGCTTACGTAACATGCAGAATACTTCTATGCATTTGTGAGAACAGTGTGAATAGTCAATAACAGTGATGTGTTCAGGCAGTTAATGTTGTAAGAATGAAGATTTAAGGTATATGTTTGTTACCTGTGCTTTAATTGTAGAAACATTTTAGCTGTATAGGTCTAAAGACACATTCAAATTGATCTTTTTAACTACAAAGCTCTATGCCTACAGTCTCTAATTTTTTGATGGTTGCAGAAGAGCAGATGGCTTTATAACAAGCTAAGTTATAAAAGGCTGTATACACTATAGAAATGATAACCTATAATATGTAGGAAACTCAGGTGTAGCCATCAGCTCTGTAAGATGTTTTTTTGCATATACTCAAATATGCTCAGATAGTACTCCTCTGAAAGTACTTGATGCCACCTCAATAGTCTAATAAGGAACTTCACCTTTTACAGACAGCCTCCAAGGGGCATGGTTTATATTTTTGAAAGAGCCATGCATCATGTATATATTGGCCTCTAGAGAATAAAAATAGTTGGTTGATTTTTATTTTTTTTTGGTGCCATGTTGCTACATGCCATGCTACTCTGAATCTATTATAGAAACTAATTAAACAGGTACAGCTAGAAGAGGCTCACATTTTATTTCGAAAATAATATCTTTTCAGCATCTCACAGCCCTTGTTAGGCTTGTTATTAGAAGCAGGCTTTTTTTTTCAGTTATGTTTATTAATATTAATACAATTCAGGACACAAGTCATTCCTTGGGCGAGGAATAGAAAGCCTGCCAACAGGTCTCTGTTCTTACTTCCATATAAATTCCTTCTCCTTCAATTTATTAAAAACAAACAAAAAAAATCAAGTTGCAAAGTATGTTGAGAGTTTTCAAGTTATCTCATTCTGGTTAAATAGTACATAGGAATGCGCTGTGGAAATAGCTGGTGGTTTTGAATGTTTAGTTGGACTTTGATTACTTGTAATGCTTGAATTGTATAATCCAGTTCCTAACTGTTTTCTTAAAGATGTTGATCCCTGTGAAGTGTGGTGCAGTCAGCCGGTTGACGTATTAAGAGAATATTGCAACGTTATTAAAATTCGCATCTTTTGGCCTCTTCTCTTCAAAAGTGAAAGTAATTCTTTGGTAGCTGATTGGAGGTAAGTAGTCATGTTCTCAGTGATTCTTCAGCC